GCGGGGGGGGGGGGGGCAATACACCAACCCAATCCAAACGCGGTTGTTTCTCCTAGCCTTTTAAGCAGCCCTTTAAGAAATCGTCCTGAAGTGACTCGAATAACCTCTGATGATGCTAAGTGGTTTAACGATTCCAGAGCAAAAGCTGCAGACGCGTGGAAATCAGGCTGCTTATGAAAACGTCCCGAGACGCGAGGGAATTTGGTTTCAGTGTTTCTCGCTTGTAGGACTCATTTGGCCGGTGATCAAAAATGATTTCCCAAAAGCCATTTCCTGTGGCCGCTGATGCACATGCTGCTCACGGGTGCATTCGAATTTAAGGATCGGGCTGGAAAGTCATTTCCGTGATGTTTTCTACAGTAGGGAAGAAGTTCTCACTTTTCTGAATGCTACTCGGCCGCAGGTAACTGTGGTTACAGCTGGGAGTGCACCAGACGTGCCAACTTGAGTGTCGGTGCTTAGCAAGGTTTGGCCAGGCTCTGTGCAGAAAAGTCACAGATCCGATTTACGAGATTCAAGCGGTCGTTTATTTAGGAGCCAGGTCAAAACAAGGGATTGATTAGTTCATTCCTTGTAGCTCGCCACCTTAGAGCGTATCGGGAAATAAGCAAAGTTAGCTGGAAAAGTACAAGAGATGCGTGTCCCTGACTTTAAAAGAGTGTCAGCTTCAAGGAGATAGTCACAAAGGTAGGGCGGGGAAGAGGAGGGGTTTAGATGAAATCGGTCAGCACAATGCTTCAAAGTCCATGCTGTAAATGCTTAAACATGGGTAAGGATAATTAAAACCAGACCTCCTCGAGCTGAGACAAAGGACTCCATCCCCGCTCCATCTGATCCCGACCCCATGTACAAATGAAGGCCGTTAAAAACAGTGCCCGATCCGATGCTGCCAGGTTTGGAGGGCGGCATGAAGGCACATATAAAAGCCAGGGAGCCCAGCGAGCTCTGTCCCGCTACAGTAGAGGACAGGGATCCAAATTAACAAACCATTAGCCTGCCTAATAGCTCAGCTAGTTAAACTCAACCCATCTCGCCCCTGGGCCAGAGGGACGCGCAGGAAAGGGTCATTATTTACAGCAAATTGTTTCTTCTCCTGGGGACCAATAGCGCTGCGGGGGCCAGAGAGGCAGCTTGAAGGCTCCCACCGCAATAAACAGACCACATGAGCAGCTCTGGACAAGGAACCGCTGCTCGTTTCAACCTCACTCCCCGGCTACCCCCTTTTCCATGTGGATTCTTCCCCTCCGCTTTTGGACCCACCACGAGATCTGGGCTTTGAAGCACTGGCGAGCTGATCTGTGGATAAGATCTACCATTGCCTTGCTGGCGGGGCCAGCGCTGCTGTGTATACACACGCTGAAGTATAGGTTTGAAGTGTAAACATGTACTTTGAGGCAACAGCCCTGTCAGCTGGGCTCCCGATGTTTTGTTTAAGACGCGAAGCTCCCATCTGTCTGCCACATAAACAGTCTGGGAAAGAAAGTCCCCCCGAGAGCACAATGCCCTCGGTTTCAGGCTGAACTGCCCTTGCCATTAAGTCGTTGGAAGCGTTTGTAACAGAAAGGGGGGCATTTGAACCACGTGGGGTAGGGCCAAAAGCCTTACAGGAGGGGTTAACACCTATTTGCTCGATGCGCAGCGAAGGAAAGCAGCCGAACGCTTTCTCTTTGCTCTGCGAAATGAATCCGAATCCAGCTGCGCTTGGATGGAATTCGAATTATAAGAAAATTTGTCACAGAAGCCGAACGGGGAAGGAATGTGAACGGCTTAAGCCGTGTTTGGGGGGAGAGGGCTTGTTTAGGAGGACCGACGGTTTGTTTCAACACATCACCCTTAAACAGGCTGATTCTGGCAAAGCCATGGGGAACCACAGTGCTGGGGGGGTGGGGTTGTTTGAAAATATCCAGATGCTGAATTATATTTGAAACTGGTTTCTTAACCATCCAGGTTCCTTCTCTCCCTCCGCTAACCTCAACCCCTCCCCCCAAGCTAGTGCTTCACGTCCATTCCTCACCGTTGCTTGCAAAAGTGGGCTACATGTGACACTGGAGTGCCACCTCATCAATGTTTTTGCACGCCCCGCACGACTCAGTGATCAGTGACAGGATCCCTGCATTTCCCAAGCCTGTTTCTCAGCACAATAAGTGGAGGAACGGAGAGGAGTGGGACAGGAGCACAGTGGGGTCTCTCTCTCTCTCTTTCTCTCTCCCCCAGCAAATGGCCCGGAGGCGGCCGGAATAGTAACAGGGGCAGAACGGAGCCCTCCAGCCAAAGGCACGCATATGGTGTGCATCTCCACTGCTTTCTATCAACCAGATACCTAGATAAGAAAAAAATAATAAACACCCAGCCTTGTAAATGGGAAGGTTTCTCGCCCTGTTTCTAAGCTGGGGACCACACATGGCCCCCTGCTTTACTCTGTACAACAATCTTGTAGGATCTTAGAACAACAGAATGGAAAGGGCGTCTCGCTCTTCCCTGTGTAAGCCATGCAGGGCGAGTGACACAGAGGGGGCTGGAGTCAGCTCGCCTGGGTAATGAATGGGGTGACTTAGGTGACTGATAAGATAAACGGCTGAAAATGTCGAACTTCAGGCACCGGTCCCTGCAACAAGCCAGAAACAGAGTCAATACAAACTGGATTATTAGCGGTATTTCCTGCTTCGGAGGCGTGTACACGTTGGGTCCGATCCTAACCTCAGCTGGAGGCAAAGGGAGTTTGGCCATTGATTTCCGTGAGAGCAGGACAGGGCCTATGGCTTGTAACTAGCCACGTTGTATTTACCCTGAGGGAGGAGAGGCGCTAGATACATATTTCATGTTATAGATGGCTGATAGAGCCAGTAATTAAGACGCTAGGTCCCGAAATACCAGATTATCCTCCAAAGAACTGTACTGCTAAGGTGCCTTTACTTTTTCTCTAAACGCTGTGGGATCCCACATGGAAGCAGTTAGCGAATGTTTGTTAATGATCATAACAAAAGCATTATTCAAATTAGACAGGTAATTACAACCAGAAGGAACATTCCTTTCTTTTCTTTCTCTCTGTTCTCTTTCTCTCTTTGCAAGAGTGGCTCTCCCTTCACATCTGGTCCGGACACTACAGCATCAGATGTCCCCTTCAACGTTTTAGGGATTTAATACCCAGGCGATATTCACGCAAATAAATCCCAGCCGAAACAAAGCTACTTTGCAAAGCTACTAAAGAGTTCTTTGCGATCCTGGAGTGATGCATCCGAAGAAGTGAGGTTTTTACCCACGAAAGCTTATGCCCAAATAAATCTGTTAGTCTTTAAGGTGCCACCAGACTCCTTGTTGTTGTGATTGATGTGAGCCTTGTTTTAAAATTCCGAATTTCACTTTTATTTAAACCCTTGTAACCATGCAGGGTTGATCATTTTCGTTAGAGGCTTTGTTTTTCCTCTCTCCATCACCAGATAAAAGAGCAAGGCCATTTGTAACCTTGTAGCTAAAATAATTCCAAGCTACTTATATTTTTCCTTGCTTGCTGATCGATTGGAGCCTGGTATTTATTTACAAGCATTACGGTATCCTGTTAGCATTCCGAACAAGGGGCTGTTCATATATCTGCCTCCAATGATTTCCTGAAGGAACATGTGGAAGCAATAGTGAGGTTGTGCACTCACCCAAGCCGAAGATGCCTTGGTGGAGAACACGCAAAAGGCTGCAGGCACTGGGAGCACCAAACAACCCAGTGAGGGGGGACCCTGCAAACGCAGCCAGAGGGCTCTCAGTTTGAATACGATTACACTCTCTGCCTTTCACAGCTCTCGCTGCCCAGTCCCTTCGGGGGATTTGCGCTTCAGAGACCAATTCTCCTTCGTTTGGGAGGGAGAAAACCACCAGAGTCTATTGCATGACTTTGAGAACAAACTTCTTTTGTTTAGTAGCGAACGAAGGACGAGCGCCTATAAAGGCAAGGCGGGAAAAAGGGAAAGCTGTGCAGAAAAAAAACCGAGGACGCAATTTTAACATAAATTCCTCTAGGACACCCTCCCCGGCAGCACGCACCCCTGCCCACCCCAAGTTCTGCCCTGGAGAAGGGGATGTAAAACGCACCTCAGCTCCCATTCCTGGGGCTGCAGTGCCCCCTCGCACCCAACAGCTGAATAACTCCAGTGGCACGAAGCTGTGCTCGCTGTGCCTCGTTTCGTAGGAGCTAGCCAGAAAACGAAGAGCAGCCCCATCTGACTCCCACGATTACATCTCAGTCTCTCTCTCTCTCTCCACACACACTTATCTCCAGCAAATAGCAACAATCGAGCCCGACGAGATACGTGTATCTCCCGGCTGGGGATCAAAGCTCTGGCCGGAGACTATTCTAAACCGAGCCATTCAAACCCCAAAGGCTTCGACTGCAATGTCTGTCCAAGCTCCTTAATGCTTTGCGGTGGCTTTGGAAGTTGAGCAAGTCTAGGAAGAGAGGGCTAGAGCACATGATCCTCCCGTGTGAAACAGCAGGGTTCGGACAGCGTTCTCTTTCGTTGTTCCTTTCATTCATAAATACCAGGAGCTCGCCTCTATCTGTGAGTGCCAGGCGCTTCACAGCCATCCATCCATCCTCCTTTCTATAGCAAGCCCCAGCTCAGTCGGGCATCAAAGACATCACTAAGCTACCAATTCATTTCCATCTCAGCTTCTTCATCCATGCCCTGACACTGGGAGAGGGACCCCAGCCTAAGCAGCCGCCCACCTGCCCAGAGCGTGTGTGGAGGGAAGCTCATTCGTGCCATTGGGAACACGGTGGGTTTTCAGGAAACTTTTTCCCCCTGCAGTGCAAAACTCTCAAATTCGCCCCCCATTCCCCGGCCATATGGCTCCACTTGCCGCCCCTCCTCTCCCCGGCTGGAGGTTGACTGGCCCCCCTGCCTGCGTAAGAGCCGCTGGAGGCTGGGCTTCAGGCGCGGACCGGACCAGGGCGGCTCTTATTCTGAAGGGGCGGGGG